ATCGAAAATTACTGTAGTTTTTGACATATTTAAAAAAAAAAAAAAAAAAAAAAAAAAAAAGTTGTAAGCAGACATATTTTAATGGTATTTCCACAAATTCCAGCTCTTTGGGCATGAGAAAATATTAGTTTTCATACTTGACCAAGTTTACCCAATGCACAGTTTCTGAATGAGATGCAAGTTAAAAACTATGTCCTTCATTTCAGAGGTACTTATTTTTATGACTCGTATGAAACTCTTCTTGGTCGAAGAAGAAAAAAAAAAAAAAAAAAAAAAAAAACATGAAAGAATAAATAAAACTGTGCGTTGAGCTACCGAGTGTTGATTCAATACAAGAAGCAGGACTTACAACGCGCGCACTGCCCAGCGACACAAGTCTTGCGGCCTTTTTTACCTGTACGCCCAAACGGTGCTGCGTGTGCCTACTTGTCTGCTTGACCAGGGCGCATATGAACTCGGACTGCAGCTCCGGCTGATCGAGGCACTGCTGCAGGGCGTTCTGCGCGAGGACCACGTGGTAATCGATCCCAGCCTGCTCGACCGCCACCGACATGAACAACTGGACCGCCTATAGTACGAAGAAGAAAAAAGTTGCTCGAGCCTTTTCAGCGCTCGTTACATCGACACAAATGGTCTAGGTCAACACGTCAAACGTACCTTGAACAACTTGATGGCCTCAACCTGCAAGGCTTCCGAAGTAAGGCTCGTGAAGGGCGTGGCTATGTGTTCCTTGGAGTGAAGCAACAACGGATGCCTCCAGAGCACGCAGTTTGGGTCCCCGTCCGTCTCCATGAGCCGCTGGACGAGCTGCTCGTACTGCGTGCCCGCGCTCGGAGCCGCTCCCGAGACTACCGTCAAGTGGTACAGCCAATTGTCCTTGTCCTGCTTGTGCTGCATGAGCAGGTAGGTCGGGCCCTGATGGGACGGGAATATACCGATCGTGTGCTCGTTGCCGCACTCCGAGTCCCTCTCCTCGCTGTCGCTGTCCGACACGTGCTCCACCTCCTCCACCCGCGCGTCCCTCATGTTTATTTGACCGATTGGATTTTGGGTCGTCTGTTTAATCAACGTATCATCATCACCTGCTCTATTCTACCCACTTGTATTATTGTACAAGTACACGCATGTACACTCACCACGTCGTTCGGGCACTTGAAGTAGAGGAACATCTTGCCGATGAGGACGCACCAGCACCTTTTGGCGTGTCCATTCTTGACTTTGGTCAGCCAGCCCTGTATCGTTGGTTTGTTGTCCTCCTTGCTGAGCAAAAGCTTGGTCGCGTTTCGCCTCTGCACGTTCTGCAGCACGCGTATCCAGTCCTCCATCGTCGCTATGCAATCCGCGGTCAAGTAGTACGTTTTCTTGCCCGTGGCTATCTCGAACGTCGCCGCGCCCTCCGCCCTGTTCACCCTGTGGGGGTAATCAACGTAAACGTCAATACATGGCACCCAAAAAACCAACTAACGTATCATGTAACGAACACCCACCTGCACAGATCGTCGATGAGTATCTGTCCCTGTGGCTTCCTGTTGACGTCGCTCTGGCTCTTCCCGTAACTGAGCACGCCGTTCTTGAGGACAAAGTAACGCTTCCTCCAAGTCTTCAGTTTGCCCCCGAGCTTGGCCAAATGGCCCGACTTCTCGAGCGCCTCCAGCCTCTTGGGACTGTCGCCCGAGACGCGCAACAGTAGGCTCGGCATGCTGGACTCGAGCGACGCCGAGCTGAGCGCGTCGGGCGGTATCGCGTAGTCCTCCGACAATCCGGACTCTAGAGACATGTCTGCGCGTTTAATAAGAAACAAAGGTGGTTTTGTACCCTCGCCAATTCGAGCAACTCACCGCGTTTGACGCTCTTGCTGGGAGAGCCGCTGGAGCTGCGTTTAGCCGGGCTCATGCTGCTCGTGGTCTTGACGCTCTTGGAGGGACTGCTGGCGCTGCCGAGGGACGAGTCCGTGTTGTCGGACGAGCTGTTGGTTATGCGCGTGCTCGTCTCGGTTTGGTTCTGGTGATCCTCCCCGTCCGAGCTGTCGTCCGAGCTGTCGCCAAACGGCATGGACCTGATCTGGCTGGCCCGGCCCTTGACTGTCGCGTAAACCGGTACCGAAATGTCGCAGTAGCCGGCCGCCGTGGCCGTGCCCACTTGGACCTGGTGGTTGTGGTGGCTCGAGTGTTTCGACGAGTTGCTCGTGTTGGTCGTGGTCGAGGGCATCGAGGATTCGTCGCTGGTGGCCGGCCCGATGCCCAAGCCTCCGTCGGCCACCTGGTAGATCTTGGCCTCCCAGCTGGGAAACCGGTGCAACGGTGGAGTCGGTGGCCTCGGCGTGCCAACCTCGGGCTGGACCTGCTGCTGCTGGCCGTTGCCGTCGACAACCACCACCTGCGCTACCGCCGTCGGGGCTAACTGCTGGTGCTGGGGCCAGGCGTTGTTCCCCTCGCGACACGGCGTGTAGATCTCCGCGTAGTCGTGGATGGCCTCGTTGCTGCTGTCGGCGCTGTCCCGGCTGAGGCTCTCCGAGGCGGCGCTCGAGGCCACGGCCGTTCCCGGCACGCTGCTCGGCAGCATCACCAGGTTCTCCACCGCCGCGGCGAGCTCCTCCGAAAGTAAGCTGCGAGGGAAAAGTTCAACCGTATACCGGCTACGTCGAGCGAGGGGACGATAAACGTGTAAGGAAGGCGAAGAAAAGAAGGTGCGGTGGGAAAAGCAGGGAAAAACTTGGTGTTGTTCCTCGGCCGACCGATAGTTCTATCAAGAAAACTTGATTTTAACCATCGGCGAGTCCACACGAGGAGCATTGATTGTTCTTTCAATCGCAAAGTGGAAGACGATCAAAGGGTGATCCAATCGTTTAGCAAGAAGCGCGTTTTTTCACTCCAATCGAGCGATCGATTTACAAGCTCTTGTCCGATTTCTCCAACCGCGCGAGATAACTGTAAACGATTGGCGAAACGTGGAATAGCCTATACACAAGCAAGGAGTTGAAAAGCATCTCAAGGGGAAAAGCTTAAATTGTATGAATGCAATGACGAGTGAACATCGATCTCACCTGGAGTCCATGTTGGCGTTGTGGCCGATGATGGGTTGTATGGTGCCGCAAGCGGAGAGGTGCCTGCGATGCCTGGTGCCGGCAACTAGTCCGGAGTGGGCCTCGGCTTGTCCCGTGGCAGTGGCACCGGAGGATTGTCCCACGCCACCGGCGACCTGGTGGTGTCCAGCTGCCGAGGGAACGGTCGCCACCTTGGCTGTCGCCACCTGGTGGGCCGTGCCCTCGAGGTTCTCGGACCGTCTGCGCAGGCTCGAGTCCACCTCCAGAGACAGGGAGGCCCGCGTCGGCAGTATCTGCGGATGTGTGGACGCGCGTCAGAGCTGCGCTCCAACGGGGCAAAGAGGGGCTGCCGAAAACTGAGTCACGCGGAGATAAACGGAGACGAGGCTGGGTTTTGTTCCAACCAGCTAAAGCGCGCCTGATAACTACTCTCTCTCTCTCTCTCTCTGCGTGCTAAAGCTTATTTTGCTGTGTTTGAAAATCGCGCGCTTTTTACGAAGCAACAACGGAAACTCGCGTGTATTGGCTCACCGAAGGGCAATTTTATTTAAAAAAGAAAAACTGCGAGATTTTGTCGTACACTTGTACCATTAGGTACGAGAAAACAAAAGATAAAAAAGGGGGGGGGCACTTACAGGGGGCCTCAAGCCGATGTTGGTGATGTGATTGCGCAGGAGCTCGAGTTGCTGGTTGCACTTGTTGTTTTGCTCGCGCAGGTGCTGGTTCTGCTGCTCGAGCTCGCGAAGCTTGTTCGTCACCCACTCCTTGATGCGGGCGGCCTTAGCCTCGACTTGACGCGCGTCCTGGAGCCTAAGCTGCCGCTATTGTTTCAAAACGATTTTCATGCATACACGATATTATATATTTGTATAAGGCACCTATACCCATAATAACCCACATGGTGTACAAGCATCGCATTGGTTATTACATATACACCGCCGCGAATTAATCCTTTTGACCCACTTTTTTTTCAATTTCATCCCCTTTCGTTTTGTGCGATCGAGCGTAAACTATAGATCGAGCGAATCGACCCGAAAAGAAAATTCTTGTATAGGTAATATACCTGCTCCTCGACCTGCGTCTCTAGCTTGGAGATGCAGGCGCAGTGGGTATCGTCGATCTGGTCATTCTGGACACTCGATGTGGATGGCAGGGAGTGCGGCGGGGAACCGACCCCGGACGTGTTCAGGCAGTATTCACCCTTCACTAGCCGCTCCTCCATCATCCGTACCTGCAAACAACACCGAGTCAAACGTCACCCTCTAGTTGTTTTTTATTTATTTTTTTTTTTTTTTGTTTCCTCCCTCTTTTTTCCCTTCGCTCGCAAGCTCCGGCACCTGCTACATACGCTTCCCTGCCAAGCAAATATATATATATATATATATATATATATATATATATATGCACTCATCGGAGGGTTGGTAACAGCGGCGTATTTTTCTCTTCCCTTCCCCTTGTCTTCAATGAGCGAGTCGTAGCGTTTTCCTCCAAAGAAGAAGATCCACGCACGGGGAAAAAAAAAAAAAAAAAACCATACAACGGCCCCTTCATTCTCGTGCAGGGATCCAAGGGTGGAAGATGATGAAGACGGGGATGCACGGCCGCACCGCGTGCAAGCGCGGCGTCCATCGTATATACAAGCTCGCCACCCCCTCTTTCCTACGCCGCGAAAATCCTAACCAAAGCGCGGAACGATCGTGGGTATAAGTATATGGGTAAGTATGTACCTTTTTCTTGACATCCTTGATGTGCTCATAGTGGGGGGATGACATGATACACAAACAAATGCCAACGAAAATTGACGACATGTAGGCCTTGGAGACGATAAATTGTGGCGGCGTGCAGAATAAAAAAAAAAAAAGAAAAAAAAATATATATACCACCAACGAGAAAAACCACCCGCGCTCGCAATCACGACACCATCACCATCACCTTATAGCCACCGGTGCAATAATATTTGTACACATTGTTATACGTAACTTGTCCAGCGCGCGTGGGTTGTATGTGTATGTATAATATTTGCCACCAACTGAAATAAAATATACAATGGTATATGCGCGCGTGTGTGTGTATACACCCCCCGTTATTATCTCTTAACCCACGCCGCTACGCTTGCACGCACGCATCGCGCACTTTGTACAGACTGACGACGCGAGAGAAAAAGAGAGACGTGACGACGACTATACACACACGACGAGGTCCTCTCGAGTGCGCGTCGCTCTTTGCCCCCGACGACTTTAACCGTATGTATACATATGCGTGCGCGCAAAAAAAAAAAAAAAAGGAAAAAAAAGGAAAAAAAAGGTAGCGACAGACGTCGCTCGTAGGTATGGATGGGGTAGGTATATAGGTGGCGGTGGCTGTGGAGCATCACCGAGAGAAAGCGAGCGGTAGGTAACGGAAGGGCAAGGGCGATTTATCCCGACATTATAAGCGTAACATGGCGCGCGCGAGCCAAGCTTGGTGTATATACACACACATATCCCAGTGGGGTAGGTAGGTGCCTATAGGGGCGACACGTGCGCGCTCGGGCTTTCGCTCTCTTTTTTTTTTTTTTTTTTTTTTTTCTTCCACCCCCGTTTACTCCGTTTGTACCACCGTAATGGCTATATATACTACGTGTGTATACGCAAGCGCGAGGGTGCAACCTATACGTATATATGTATACACGGTATACTCGCAAATACCACTGGGGCTGCTACCGCTGTCTGGTATACGCGACCGTGTTGGGGTGTACAGCAACCCCCACATTTCCCTCTATACGCGTATCCGTGTTATACCTATTTATACACGCGACTACGAGCAGCTGTCAAAAATCGATCGCGGGTACATGACGTTGTAGGTACCTACGTATACCTACCCCTCGCTATAAACGGACGGACAGACGCGCCGACATCTATCCATCTCTCTCCGCACTTTCTCAGGCTCGCCGTCTTTCTGCACGTTGTATGTATATATATATATATATACGTATGCGCATCTAGGGGGGTGGGGTAAGAGGAGCTTGGGGGATAAGCGCGAGCCGGAGAGGGGGGAAAGAAAAAGGAAGAGACAGGGAAAATCAATACCGAACATTAGCCCTTTTTCTCTTTCTTTTTCCCCCCTTCGAGGGGCCCTATACGCACCCTCCATCCGTCTATACCCTAATGCAGCGCCCTCCAAACTATCCCTTCTTCGTGTTTTGTATACCTTTTGCATACACGCCCACCCTTCCTCCCTCCTCTATATAGTTCTCCTCCTCCTCCTATGTATATATACGCGTGGCCTCTTTTCGTTCGAGCAAAGGGGAAAGGAGGGGTTGGGGATCGACGTTTTTCAGATACGTATATGAATAGGATCGAGTGCCCGTGCACGATGACGCTTTGTTGAGGGCCCGCGGGCGCAAGTGGCTAATCGGGGGGGGGGGGGGGGGGGGGGGGAGTCGGGGTGCCTTTGTTTGTTGTTTTTGTCCTCGGTATAATCGACGATTTTCCCAAGTCCTTTCCCTTCCCTCTCGTCTACATTACCCTTTACACCCGTTGGTCTTTAATACTCCTCTTCTATAAGTACACCCTACTATGTAAATACTTTGTGTGAGGTTGTACTACTGTAATATTTAAAAAAAATGTAAATAACAATACATATATATATCCTACACGGACCGGAAGGAAAGTGGACATATTTTACTAATATTCAATTGGGATCGTTTAACGATGCACGTGCGGCACCGATCCTCGGGTTCTCATTGACATTTATAAAATCGCTGGTTGGTCGGATTGACTCATGAGGTGAGAAGTTAAAGAGCTTGCTGAGTGACGTTACATGTCGCATCGTAAAACTCCCTTTTCGCCAATCCACGTCAATTGGAAACCACAATCAATCAGGTACAATTGCAACCAAAAATGCTGATTGGCGAGTTGATCGTATTAATTTACAAAAATCCTACGGTCACGTTTTCTTCGCGTACTACTCTTATTTATCGCTGACATCTACCTATATATGTGGAAAAAATCAGCCATAGAAAGTCATTGCCCTTCAAATAAGGAGTACTGAAGAAAAAAAAAAAAAAAAAAAAAAAAAATTGCACTCTAAATCCACTAAGGAACAAAAGAAACAACAATAATCACACGCACAAGGAACACCGCAAAACTTGTTAATCCCGGGGCACTCAACGTTGCGCGTATACTACTTATGGCGCGGCAAACTTTCGCGAGCACTGAGACAAAAGTTGAAAAGCCCCCTCATTCCTCTCCAGTTCAAAGCGATGAAAATTAGCAGTATGAAAAAAAGTAAAATCTCACCGTGCGAGGACTCCATGGCCGGACCGGTGGGGCGCTCCGTACAGATCGAAGCGAAAATCACGAAAAACAAAAGATCCTCTAGTGGCCTCGGCACAGCGACCGCGCGATGGTACAAACAAGACAAATTCCCTTTCTCTCCACTCGCGATGATAAGTATATTATATTACGACACTAGCCGGCGGCGCATCCAGCGCGAGAGAGTATAATAGGTAACGCGGAGATGGAGAAGGAGGAGAGCGTCCACGCCGAGAAACATAGAGGAACTCGAGCACGCGGCGGCACAGAGCATCGGTATACCCAAAGCTTAGGCGCTTGCGCGCCCTGGTACACCCTCATACTATAGGGGAGGAGGTGGTGGAGGCGACTCCGTGGGGGCTGTATAATACACACGGTCTCCTTTTACCCCCCCCCCCCCCGATCGGTGGAAGCGAGAAAGAGAATAGTGGGATACGTAGTCACCGCCGTGCCGTCGACGCCGGCGAGAGCCGGTGAGTCATGGGCTGGCCGCGAGCCAAGCCCCCTGTATAATATACATACACGGGACACAAGAGGATGATGACGATGGGGGATAAACTTTGCATGCACGGCACACGGAAACTCTACACCTATATATGCGACACTCTTTTTTTTTTTTTTTTTTTTTTCTGCTCATCGCTACGTTACATGTACATGCTGTAAACGAAGACGCTATATGTACTTCCTGATCGGGGTGTGTTACAGCGGTACTGTGGGGTGCCTTTCGCGCGCTGTTAGTCATGACGACAAATGGCACTTATCGGGGCTAACCACAGCTCCACCCTTTGCTCCACTTGCTCCCGGTTTTGGGGCCACTTTTTTTGTTTTCGCCTCTCTCTCTACTGGCTTTTGCATTTAACGATACTTTTGCCCCGACGGAAAAATGGGGCGAGAATAACTCGGCGGTGCGATAAAACAAAACGAAGCGGCGGAGATTCACCGGGATTTGGTAAAATATGGTGGCCCACGAATTCCTCGGCTACGACGAAACTGCGAGCGTTGGTATTTTGAATAAATATGCGCTCAATGCTTCTCTCTCCATAGCCGTTCCTACGAGCAATTACCAATTAGCCAAGAGTGCATATTACGTACAGGTGAAACGTCAAATTGAACATGAAATCATTTACTCGTGTGGTCGAGAATCAAACGGAGCAAATATACGTACACCGAAATAAATCCCCTTTAGGCGTCGTCGAGGAGGAGGAGCCACCCCTGATGGGCCCTCCGTGTGTGTATCCCTAAAACGGAAGGCCGTGATACATGAGTAACGTCGTTACGTCCGGTCGTAGATCGACTGACTCACGACTCGCTAAACAGATCAATCCAATTCACGGGTAAAGTAACACCGATCAGATTTACGCGTCGCACCCCTATTTGCTCCTCTTACCTATACATAGTGCATACGTGTATATCTACAGTAGAGCCATATCGTTTCCGTACGAGCGTCAAAAGAGAAGCAAAAAAAAAAAAAAAAAAAAAAAAAAGAGAAAAAAGATGTACGAGAAAGAGGAAAAAAGAAGAGAGGGAGAAATAAAAGACGCGCGCTCGTGCATATGACCCTTTGGTTTTTAAGGGAGATGGTGGTGTCTTTTTCTCGTTGAGCGAGTGTTTTGAGCGAGGCACAGCCGGGGGCTTTTTACGCTTTCGAGTGAAGCATATTTCGCAAGTGTCGCCCACCGAAGCCCCCGAATGGAGTAATACGAGAGTGCATAATATAAAAACGGGAGCTTTTAGGCTCGCGAGCTTTTCGGGACTAATGAAATTTTTCAAGGGGGCCATTTTGCGTTTGAAATCGGCGCAGCTCTTGTTTACATGAATATTACATTCACCGTCGAACCGATGATAATATATGTTTTCCCATGCCTATACGCTGCACTCGTGTGTTCTGGATTCGCTCCAGAAACCAAAAATTTCGATTACCAGTCCCAGGTGTGTA